GTTAATCTGTGGAAAGTGTTAATTTGTATTAATTTTAAAGGAATAGCAAACTTCAGGCTGTGCTGCAGCAGTCCTAATGGTATCAGTAATAAATCTGGGAAGTAAATGCATTTCCTCTTCTTGTTTTTCCTATGGCTGTGATCTCCAAGCTACTCTTGACTTCACTGCAACACAGTCTGTACTCCTCAGTTGTATCTTTGAATTTCCAAACCAGATAATTTCATCAGCATTACATTACTCTTAGCTGATGATTTCTACTCAGATTTTATCTTTCCTGTTACAAACTCAGCAAAACTCTGAGTTCTGTGGCTACCAAATGTAGCCACATATACAGGTTATTCATCTCCTAAAATACAGACAAAGAACCATTTGGAGTAGTAAATAATACAAGTTTGGCGCTCAGCACCACTCAGTGAATCTCTCTCTTAAAAGACATAGAGATAAATGAGAAATTAGGTACCAAATATCCTACAGAGCAGCAGCAGCCTGACCCCAACCAGATTTCGTGACTGGAAGCTCAGTTTAGAGAAGCTCGAGACAAAAGTGTCTTACCTGGTTCACGAAGGCAGAACAGGTGAGAGAAGTGGATGGAAGGACCTGGTACAGACGCCTTTTATAGAGCTCCCTGCTTGCCCACAGGGCACTGGGCACCTGATGCGCCAGCTCATAATTAGGTCCCAACCCCAAATTGCAGGCCACATAATTCCCCAAAGTGCTGAAATTATCTTTGCTTATTGCTGGTGCGCTCCAAACCCACACATAGCGTGAGCTGCACATTCCACCCCAGACCTCTATTGTCTCCAGGCTTTATGTGGTGAATTATTTTTTATGATCCCATTGCTTTCCTTAGCGTTAGGGGAGGAAATAAAGCTGACTTGATTTATTTATGAGTCCCTCATAATTAGGGTGATTGAAGGACACTCATGGTTTTGTCCAGGCAAAGGTCCCTGAGTGAGATCAACAGGAGACGCGGAGACAATGGAGCTTCTTTTAGGGACTCAAATGAGGACTGGGGACAAAGAACAAAGGGAAAAACTTTGGTTCTGTAGGCTCAGCATTTCTCCCTCCACCCACTCAAGGCAAGGCAAACACAACAGTCGGGAGCATCTTTGAATGGATTTTATGCCATAAAATGCTATCATGGAATGGTTTGGGTTAAAAAAGGCTTTAAAGATCATCCAGGGGCACCTTCCATAGACCAGGGTGCTCCAAGCCTCGTCCATCCAGGCTTTGGACACTTCCAGAGATGGGGAATCCCTGGAATATCCTGTGCCAGGGTCTCCCCATCCTCACAGGGAGCAATTCCTGCCCGATATTCCATCTAAACCTCCTCTCTGTCAGTTTGAATCCAATCCCTCTTTTCCTGCCAATTCAGCCCTCAGAAGAAGTCTCTCCCCATGTTCCTTTGTAAACTCTCCTCTTGCTCTCTTTCAGTCCCTGGAAACAGATAAATATTTCACCTGGCAGCCACAATTCCATGGAAATTGAGTTTTTTGAGTTGTTTTATCAAGCTTTCCTTTCCTTTCTCATGCTTTCTCCTCTTATTTTTACATGTTAGAGACACAACATTCTGTGTATTAAAGAAAAATATATTTTATTCTTAAGGTCAAAGACAGGAAGGTCAATTTTATGAACCAAGAGCTGATTATGGGAGAAACCCAAGTGGCCTCAATTTATGCAATTTAATGAGATAATCTTATAATTGTGGGGTGTTTACACTCAGGCACAGATTTTATATAACTCTGAAAGAGTAGGAATAAGTCAGTAATGGATGTTCAAGAGGTGCTTGAAAATCCCTTGGAATGTTCTTGTAAAACTTCAACGTGAATTTTTTTTTCCAGGATAATGGCTCAGGAACTCCTCATGTGTATCTTCAGATTTGAAAAAGCTCATAATTTATAAATAATATGTGGTGTGAAGATAACCATGTGGGTGATTATGATAACGATGATAATGATAGAGTAGGAAGATCATGGTGCAAACAGAGAGAGAAACCTCAGCAAATCCAACATTTGCTTTTCCCAGCAGATTCTCACATTGTAATTGCTCTGTGCTGAAAGACACAACAAGGATGGCATTAGCTGCAAGATCCTCTCTGAAAACAAAAGGATTTTATTTCCACTACAGCTAAATTTGGGATTTCTCCAATATAGAATCATGGAATGGTTTAAAATTAGCAGGGACCTCAAAGACCCTCTTGTTCCAACCCCTGTCATGGACAGGGACAGCTTTGACTGTCCCAGGTTGATCCAAACCAGCCTTGAACACTTCCAGAGTTGGAACCATCTAGATAAAACATAAATTTGATTATTATTTCAATGTACTCTCTGATTATTTTGAGTTTTCCACTCTAATTCTTAAATCATAAATATCTCTCCCTTCAGAACTAAACTCAGGTTTAAACTGTGGCTTAAGGGTTGGAAAAAACATAAGAGTTTTCTGGATATTTGTGTCCCCAAACCATTCTAAGAGTTTCATAATTTTTGTAAATGTCTGAGCATAATTGTCTTATAAGACAGGACAAAAATATTTGCGTGTAAATATCTCAGTACACGGCGTCACCCCAGAAAACTGCCACGAATTCATGAATCATGTTTTAGGATGAAAGATGCACCAATTCCACCCATCAGAGTTCCGGATCAAAGGACCTCGCGTGACGTAAGGCGCCATTTGAAATCAAGAATCAACACAAAGAGTGGCAATTTCATCACTTTGAAGAGCAATCAATACAAAGAAATGTTCTGTGTCAACTAATGAGCTCCTGTGAGCCCTGAGGCAAGTCTGAACCGTATAAAAGCCGTCTCCACCTGGGGTTCTCCCAAACATCTTCCCTTCACTCGTTCTTCTCAACGACTTGGTAAGTCTGGAGCTGCTCTTTGCTTCTTCTGGAATTGCTCTTTGCTGCTTTTGGAATCTCTCTTTGCTCTACAATCCATCCGGGGTGCTCTCTTCCATTGGGAATTCATAGGCAAAATTTTAGGTGAAGAGATAAACCTTGCAAAACCTTTATGGAAGGCTGCTCTCTGCTTTCGAGGCTGGAGTTCTGTTCCAAACCAAACCAAAAATTTCTTATTACAAAATTCCCTTGGATGTTGGGTTGCCTACACCAGTTGTATCCATAATGTGAAAGGTTCAGTGTTTTTTCCTATCCTCTGTTTGGTTAAATGGGCAACTGGAAATTATTTGGAAAGTTTAAGTCTTCCTGTTTCACAGGGAAATGTTGAGTTTAGAGGCAAACCTGCCATTAGATGCAGTTTGTTCTATTCCAAATCAAGTGAAATGCTTTTAATTCAAGATAAATGGGCATGAACACCCCAAGAGACTGGCTTGGAGTAGGACAAAGAGAAGATTTGAGAACTGCTCTGTATTAGATTTATTTAAGATTAAAAGGGATCTTGGAGGGAACTTAAACAGCTGAAATGTGGAGCACTGGATTTCCCCAAGTTAATGAGGGCAAATGGTTTGGTGTGAGAAGTTTTCAAGAGTTTGTGGCCCAAAATCAAAATTCTGGGGTGTTAAGCTCATTGTAGGGACCTCAAAGCCCTGATTCAATGTTTGGAAATTTGGGACAATCATCTTTGCAATTCCCTTGTAATGGTCTCATCCAAGAAGCTACTGAGCGCAATCTGAACAGACAATGAGTTATAATCCCTGTTTAGACAAGGATCAGCACAAAGGAGATCAGTGGGAATGAGGAGCCGGAGTCATGAAATCCTGAATAACAACAACACACTCTACTCCTGGAGCAGAGTCCCACTCCTTGTTGATCCCCTGACTCACCAAAGTGCCCCAGCAAATCATTTTTGTTCTTACAGTTTAAGAACAAATAATTGTTCTTATCCAATTTTCATCTTTAAGAGACATGGGGAAATTCCAGCGCTTCAAAGCTCTCCTGCCTGGGGAAAAGCAGCCAGCTCCAGAGTATTTTTCTCTTTGTAAATAACATCTTGTAATTGCTCCAATCAACTCTTGCAGATCAACCTCCACCCCTGCAAGATGTCCTGCTACGACCTGTGCTCCATGGGTGGCTC